CTGTCCCCCGCCGGCCGCGCCTCCGACCTCGCCCGGGGCCGCTTCCCACGTGCTGTGGCCGCGGGCAAAGCCGGTCCGGCTTCCCGGGCTGATCCGAGCCAGGCGCTGGCGGCCGTGAGCGGCTCCCGCCGCCCTCTCCCAGGGTGCGTCCTGCCTTCCGGGCCAAGGCTACAGCCCAGGGGTTTCCTGTTGGTGTCCCATCCCAGGTCCGAGCTGTCTTCGCTGTGTCCAGCTCATTTTCTTGGCAAGGAGATGCGAGGGGCTTCCTCCCGCCTTCTTCCAGGATGCTCTCGACTCCCCCTCCGAGTCTGGAGCCCCAGGATTTCCTGGTGGTGCCCCATCCAACTCCCCGCTGCATCCTACCTGCTTCGCCGGTGTGAAATCCATAGGTCCAGTGAGATTCCCATCTCGATTTCCTCCCTGCGAGCGCTGCAAGCCTGCTGGGCTCCGGCGCGGCTTCCCTTGGCGTGGGAGCCCCAACAGGTGTCTCGATCGGCAGCGGGCCCAGCGAGGCGGCTCCTCCAGCCGCAGCCTCCTCCGTGGGCCATGCGTGTAAAACGGCCCCCCGCTCTCCACCTTTGCGCCTGCTTGTTCCTGGCGATGGGCGTTTTCCACAGCTCCCCCGCTGCTGCCCCAAGGAGCGGGTCCTGCAAACAGCGCCTGGCAGCCCCGGTTTATCTGGTGTTTATTTTAGTGTGCATCTGTTGGACTGCACAGGTTTTTATTCAAAGAGTGTTTTTTTAATGGGTTTTATTGTGAACTGCCCAGACAGCTTCTGCTGCTGGGCAATTTAAAAATGCAAACAGATAAATAAAACAAGAATTAGGCCTGATTGGGTACGTGAGCCAAAGTTAAGCTTCTCAACTTCCTCCTGGCTGCAAATGCATTATTTCCAATGCTCATAAATGCAACACGCCTAAAAACACGATTTTATGGCCTGCCGGGGCTGATCTGATCCCGCAGACCCCTCTGCGCCCACTCCTGCCTGGCGCAAAAGCGGTCCGCTTTGGTCAGCGTTTCCAGCGGTATGGACCTTGCGGAATTTGGGAGTCCACAAATGGAGGCCTGGCTGGGGATGATGGGTGCTGTGGACAAGCACATCGGGAGGACCTTGTCTTGACACAAATGGGTCCTACGCTTATTCAAAGGACAAAAGTCACAGCAAAACGAAAAGAATGGGTCTGCGATGTGGTCCATAGACTTCGGGTGCCTCAGCTGGGACCGTGTTGCTGTCAAAAGACGGTGGCCAAAATGTAGAGTGATTTTTTTAAAAAAAAGATTGCCCAGCGCAGGTAGGAAAGGAAACGCTGGAAAAGTCAAGACTCTCCCGGGCCGGCTCAGCGTCTGGGGCCTTCGTGGATCCATCTCTTGGCAACGCCACCGAAGTGGCTTCTGTTGCCTTCTGAATTCCTTTTGGACTTTCCAGTCTAACCCAGTGCGCTAGAATCTCCTGGTTGCCTCCCATCCGAGCACAGACCAGGCTCAACCGGCTTAGTTTTTTGAGATCCATCAAAGTTGGCTGGGAACTATGGGCTAAAACATTAAGATGGGCTTTAAGCTAACATTTTTGTTCTACAATTGCATTCCTATCATGATATAGTTTCCGAACTCCTCTGAAGGCTGATCCTTATTCTGCTAAAACAGCACCGAAGGGACCTCTCTGCAGCTGGGGGAAATGCTGAAGTTTAGCTTCCGCTCGCTCGCTCTGCTGCAACATTTTGTTGCAGAGCCCATTGTTGCTCCGAAGAGAATATTCTGCCTTTCGACAGATGGGTTGCAAGAAATGAATAAATTCACCGAGCTACGGTGATTTCCAGGCCACGGATTACATGAGTGGAAATCCCTTTTTGATTTCTCCCCCTATAATTCTTGCAGAGTTATAGTTCCTCTTTCCTCATGAGAAATACAGTCAAAAGAGAGGTTTTTGCAGTAAAAATATCATTTTAAGAAAATCAGTTCTTGTTGCAACGGCGGTGAAAGCCTTCAGCCTGGGGACAAAACACCAACGAGTGCTTTCTCTGCAGGGTTTCCAACAAACGCGCTTCTGGCGAGCGCTGCGGAGAAAGGAGTGACCGGCGGAACTCCGGGCGACGTTTTCCAGCGCAGCCCAAACCTTTCTCTGCCGCATGCGCTCTGGCAAGGGAAGAGTTAACCCCTGGAGGGGGCGGGGCAGAGGGGCGGGAAGAGGGATGCGATTGGTTCCAGCCTTTATCCGGAGCTCCGCGGCTTGCCAAGAGGGGATCCCGCGCGAAGCTGTTTGGCAGCGCCACCTGCCGGGAGGAGGCGAGCATCGCACCGGCTCCGTCCGGCTGCGAGCGAGGGAGGGAGGGAATGCCTCTTCGGATGCTTGAACGCCTCCTCTAACCTGGTGCCTCCGGGTTAAACCTCCCATTACTCTCACACTGAGCATGATGGGAATTGTAGTCCGACTCCCCGGAGGACAGGGTTGCAGCTTCCACGCCCCAGCCAGAGCGGGCCTCCGAAGCAGCCTCCCGGCCCCCCGCTAGGGCTAGCCCCACCTTCGCCTTGCCCCCCGAGAAAGCTCGCC